CGATTAAACATATTATCCACTTAACAGTAAAAAATGCATAATAATTGTGATTTATTTTTGTACACAACATATTAGCAAGATCGTATGTACGTCTTCAATATCTTCCCACAAATTTTTTCCCGAAATCAGACGAATATTCAACTCTAACTTAAAAGCCACTACATATAGAACCAGAGAGCGGAGGATCGCTGCAATTTTTCGTTCCATCTCAAACGCCGGAGTTTATTTACACTGGCGGCAAGATGGCACAGCAATATGAGGGGATAGCAACGCCCGCCCGAGGTGTTCAAGCGCTTGTATTTGGTATTATGTTGATGTTGGTTTTCTTTAATAGTTTTTTCTTTTTCTTTTTTTTTCTATTTTCTCTTAATTCGTTATTATCAATGTTAATAACTAATTAAAAATCACGCACATAATGCCATCTGCCGGTTACAATAAACTACGTTAAGTTCTTCACATTTAACTGGTTACATCTGAATGCAGCTAACACTAACAGCACGACAAAATCTAACCATCTCACTTAATAAAACACTAAAAAAGGTGATAAAACTAAACTAGCACACAAAAAAAAAGTTAATTAATGCGTTCAAATATAACTCACAAAAAAATTTACTTGAAACTCTCGAGCCTTGAATACCGGGTTGCAAAGGACAAATAAAGTACGGGACAAGTCTCTTAGAATCTTGCCCGTGACTGATGAGGCTGTGAGACTCAGATCCCAGATAAGACACGACCGTCGACCGCATCCAGCCTAACAGTACGACAAAAAAAATGGGAAATGATTTGATCCTGATAAGCCGGCCCATAGGTAACAACGCCCAGGCAACGAATCATTACTCAAAGCGAAATAATATTGAGATGTCAGTATTTCGGTAAGCATATTCTTGTCAACAACGCAGGACGAATCGTTAGTTATCAGAAGTAAAATTAATATAAGAAATTAAAATCCGTATCACACTAGAATCATTTTATCGAAAGGCGAACAAATTATGGGAAATGATCTTGAGAGCGAATATTCTCAGTAACGCATCATGGTCACCATATGAAAAAAATGGAAAACGATTTAATAACACCACGCTGCCATGACATAAGTAATGCGAGAGTATAATCGCTTAAAGGAGTATATATTCCATGGATTTAATAACACCTGTTGTAGGAGGTAACGAGAAATGTGTACAAATTATTTTGAGCCATATTCAACCAGCAACATGATATGGTTAACAAAAATATAATGTCATTTAAATTTCCCCCCCAAAATACCAGTAATTACTACTACTTTTTGTTCATTTCGATAATAAACGTCAAAGATAATAATACTCGTGTATTTTTGGTGTTGAAAATATGTAATCTCTCCTGTCGAGTTTTCGATTCATGTTTTTCTATATTTGGTATATAATTTCCATATTTGATGTTATATATTATAGCTATACGTACCCCCGGTTAATTATTTCAACTACCAAGTTCTTTAAGCATCGTTCACTTAGCTCTTAACCTTTACAACAAAGAACTTTGAATAAATACGCTGTTTTTCGCCCCTTTTCTCAAATATTTTCGGTTTTCGCTATAGCCCCACACTAACATCACATACGGCATCGTCCTCAAAATAAAAATGATATAAAATAATTATGAAGGTATTTTAGTTGATTTCCTTCATTTTATAATTGATAATTTAGCAATACTGCTTTATGATGAGTTGGCACGAGAGGATGACTCTACGAGCACTCTAGAATGCACCATGTCAGGTCCGGGACTCTTATGGACCTTTATCCTGGACAGTTTATTTCTAATACCCTCTTCTGTGAACACAATGTGGGTCAGTGCTGCGTCGAACCGTCTGTCCTCAAACGCAGGAAGGTTAGTTGCATCCTCTCTTGCGTAACTACCATCTTCAAGCCTCAGGTCTGATACTCCTACTCGCGTTTTTAATTTCGACTTTGCATATGGAGTTGATTGGGCGTTTTGGGGAAAAAAAAGAACAAGCTATGGCATTTTTTAGATCTCATGGTGTTCTCCCGACCTCAGTCAAGTGTCCTAAGTGCAAGCTGCCCGCCTATACCCGCGTTAAGCGAGAATCAGAGTCAGTAACCAGTACTAATCTCAGAATCCAACGACGAACCAGAACCAGGCCAATAAGGTAAGAAATAAGTGATTCCATCATATGACGAGAGTTAGTTAGGTTACGTTACGTTAGGTCAGGTCAGGTCAGGTTTTTAATTATCTAGTTTTTTTTTTGTGTGTGTATTCGCTTAGCCATAATTTTTGGCGGAAAACGCCCCACCCAAAACCCCCGTTAACTAAAAAAACCAGGCAATTTCCGACGGAAATGAAGGTCAAAACCAATCAAAACACACAAAAATACACCAGAAAAACAGTTTAGACTTAATAACATTGTTGCGTGCACTAATACAAATATACCCCAAAAAACTACCTAACCTTACCTAACTTGCTTGCTGTGGATCCCCGGTATATAAGTAATTTGCAAGGGAAACGTCTTAAAACTGTCTGAACCATGGGCAAACATTGCTCAACTCGAGATCCATATTTGTCCCAAACTGCAGTTATACCCAAAGCTCTAAGCGCACAATATAAATCTCGCTATAGACCCGAACTCAACATTTTCCCTTCTTCAAAACATTGTTCGTTGTTATTGGGCATTAACACATTTTCTTATATAAAAATTGGCTATAAATGAAATAAAAAAAATGATGTAGGCTACATTACTCAGCTCAAACTCTGCATTACCGACGAACGTAAAGTTGAACTACGCACCCACAGCCATTTAATCTTACCTGGTTGAATTTTTACGATGTTTACTGTCAATCCAAAACGTTCCAGTTCTTGTGATCACCTGAGAAACGACCATTCAAGTATCCTCTTCTATTTAACTTCCTTCAACCACAACTTAAAGAGCGAAAGAATCACTTTCGTCGAGATTTTAGAAACTGTAAACAGTCACTTCAAAATGGAGGGAAACAACATTGAGAAATTGAGAATGAAGGTTTAAGGATGAGGATTAAAGATAGAGAGGAGAGTGCGGCGCTCTTCAAGGGTCGCCCGGGCGTACGCTGAGGTGACCAACTACCCTTTATCAGCACTATCTTTACCCCATCTAGATCATGAGCACGGTACTAAATTAGAAAATGTTTCAGGAGTAACTGCCTTAAAACTCTTGACCCTATTTCTCTATACCCCTATACTGTCTTCAGTATGAGATTTTTCATTTATTATCAATACTTACCTACTTATTGTTATTATAATATTTCAATTCATTATGTACTAAACCATATGGCATGCTGGAAATCAATCAATACAGACGATGTAATCTCATGTAAATGTTTTGCATATTGTAGTGTTACTTCACTCCCATATACATACACAAGTGACTTGTTTACATGGTATATACTGTACTTAAGGGGCAATATTTCATAAATGGTTGTGTTTTCAGTTATCGTTATTACTAATGGCTCCTTTGTGTTCACAACCATTCAAAGGACATAAACTGAGAATCTTGTGTCACTTTTTTTACTGACAAATTAGTTTTCTTGCACTACAAAACCATCCCAAAAATGTATGGAAGGAATGCATTATAATGGAATTTAAGTTAAAAAATAGTCTTATACGAATATTAATTTTATTACAAGAAGTGTCAGACAAACACAAGCACAACTAATTCTTAACACATGAAGTAAACATTCAAATGTTTCAGTTTTGGAGGAGAGCTGCGTGGTTTGAATAAATCCGGGGTGAAGTGTTGGCTGCATAGAACAAAACTCCTGTTGAGTTTTGAGAGTGACTTATTTAAACACAGTTGTGGAACCTGTAACTACTTTTCTCATCTGCAAGGAGGGGAAGGTGTCATTAAAGAGAAATCTAATTACACTATTGCAAGGATTGTTCTTCATTGTTATTTTATTGGATAAAATTGCATTTTCAACCACACACCTCTTTCAACATGGAAAATGTTTAGTGTATTTTTATGGGTATCAAACGATTTTGACCTTCATTGCCTTGTAAAAACAGAGCGTTTTGCTCCAAATCATTACGTTATTAAAAATTAGTTTTTCGTACTATAACCGTGTTTACGTAAATAAATTATTTAATTTCCGACACTATTATGCATTTGCGACAAAATTGGTATTGAAGAAAAGTTTTTCATAGTAGCCTTTTAAGAACAGTTTGTTATAATTAAAAATTCTTGATTCTATGGTTGTGATAAACTGCAATAATACCATTCACCCTATTTTTGGGCCACAAATATGAAATAACACACACAAAAGGGTCTGTGATTAGGAGCAAACTCTCTAATAATACCCATTTCTGGCGTAAATCATGATCCTACACCCTTCTAAATAAGCTAACTCACTGGAGCTGCCTCCCCACCAGGCTAACTTCTGTGGAATTATTTCTCAACTACATAATTTACTAAACTAAACTACACCTAACCTTGTCCTAATGGTAGGTAAGGTTAGGCCCTAACCACATCAAAGGCTTCTGAGAAAAGTTAAGGCTCATGGTATCGAGGGGAAAAGTTTTAGATTGGATAAAATCGTGGCTCACCGATAGAACACAGAGGATCAGCGTAGATGGTTTTAAATCTGAGTGGGGTCGTGTAACTAGTGGGGTTCCACGGGGGTCAGTACTGCGCTCACTCTTGTTCATAATCTACATAAATGATCTTGATACTGGGATCAGCAGTGACTTAAGCAAGTTTGCGGATGACACCAAAATAAGGTGGCAGATTAATTCAGGGCAGGATGCAAATGCACTATAGGAGGATGTAATAAACTGCAGGAGTGGTCAGAAAAATGGCAAATAAAATTTAACCCCTTGCAGCTCATCCAGCACATCTTCACCAAAGAGCACCTCACTGAGATCACTTTCACTTTGGTTGTGGTAAGCTCTTTGGAGTGGCTTCCAAACAATTTGTTACTTGGTAATGTTTTCCCATGCAACCCCTGCATTGAGGAGCATATTAAGAAAGAGGTATTAAAGAACATTACTACCAGGTATATAGTATTTACTTAATATAATAAGTACAGTACAGTCTCTTCCTTGTCTCTAACTTCAAGATTTCATTAATATGAGAACACAAAAGAGTTTAATACAGTATTTACCTTTTCTCAACTTCCAATTTTATATAATGAGGGTAAAAACAAACCTGAATTTGCCAATGAAATGCCTAAGAGATACCTAACAACTGATGTATAAGAAATAATATACAATAATGTACACTTTCAGCCACACAGTATTGCCTCCAGTTTATCTATTCACCCTCGGTAACTTGTGGGTTAAAAGCACCTTCTTCCGTTTCCATTTGTTCAGCACATTGATAGTTTTACTGTACAGATACAAGAGGTGTAGTTACATATTTCTATATAACTTCATCAGACTAAAAACAAGTATACAGCTGAATCTCATTCGTCAAAATGTAGGGAGATGAAACTCTACTCTATTTTCATTCTATGTATTTTTTTTCTTAGTACAGCCTCACACTCACAATATCATCATACCCACCATAATCATCATCATCATTTAGAGGCCATTATCTACTCTTGGTCCGAAGATATTCATTATAAAATCAAACACAACACAACACAACATTATCTTTAAATAACATACAAGCAACAAGTTTACGTAAGTTGGTTCTTGTCATCTGCTGTCATAAAAGCTTTAGCACTGTAGCCTCCTGAAGGACATGTAGTCATAAGGAAATAAAACTAAAACTGTAAATGAAACAAAATAAAATTATTCCTCTTCTGGGGAATTTAAAACAGTCCAACTGGCTAGGAAGCTGACCAAAGAATAATGCGATGGTGATGAAATACGTATCTATATATTAATTCTTATTGGCTCTGGGTGTATGATAATATATACAGGTCTGGCAGGTTCAAAATAAGTTAAATAGCCAATTAAATACAGCCAGTGAGTGTAAACAAGAGACTGTACAGTATAGTGATAAGACTTGTGTCATGTATAATGTTTAATATAATCACATGTATTGTATAAGAAATGGATACATAAACACAAATATACAGTACTGGGACTTAACTTGTGTTTTTACATTCTGAATATTAGTCCATTTACAATACTTTAATAAAAAATAATTAAAGGAATGACAAGAAAATACAAAGCATAAAATTTAAACTAGTACATTTGTAAAGACAGAGTTTATTCTGTCAATATTAATATGTTTCCTCACAAATAAGTAATTTTCTTGGTTATATGTTGTAATCATATATTCTTTTACAGGTTGAAATTCCCATATCCGGTAAACATGTAACCAACTCCAAGCTGGATATAGAAAATTGCCATTATTGAAAAAGTCGTATTTCTTAGCGTACAGGTACTTGTAAACAGGTAACTGATACACTGTATGCCTGTATGCGTATATAAGCACGTGTTTGGGTGCCGTGGTGCAGTTTAATAAGGGTAAAATAAAACTGTAGTACTTAAATAAACACATCACTGCCCTCGGGTGTGATGGCGGGAGCGATTGGCTCACCACAGAAACATAACTGGCGAAACTAAAAGAAACTGCCACTCGTGCTGTTTTGGGGGGGGGGGGGTTGCTGTGTGTTAGAATCCCGGATATGAGAGCTTCAACCTGTACTGCTTTTTGGGGCAGGCAGAAGGGAGAATACTATGGTCTAATTTCACTTTACTAACTGTACTAGGTGTAAAAATGGGCTCATTAGAAATTTAGGAAAATAAATTGCTTTAATCATCTACAAAGTTTTGACAACATCTACCCCCTTGAAGACAGTCAGACATCTGGTACAGTGGCTGGTGCAGTTTGTGAGATGTGGCAACTCTGTGTAATGTTTACCTAGCATCCTCAGTCGGGCTACTATTGTGGAGCTCCTTGGGGCCATTCCTGGAGCTACAAACACACAGTTGCCACATCTCACAAAATGCACCAGCCACTGTACCAGGTATAAGTGCAGTGACTTAGTGAATTTACTGCACTGATATGAGCCACAAGAGAGAAAGACAAGCCTGGCTAGTGACCTTGTTTATGTACACAATTCTTTAACAGTAAGTTCTGAGTCCAGCCAACTGTATTAATGCTTCCAACAATGATTCTTTTCAAAGTATTTCAGTTGTCCATTAAAGCCAAAACTCTCACCATGAAGTTCCATATATACAGTATATATTAACAGAAAAAAGATACAGGTACAGTAGAAAGCTTTGTTAGTAAAATGAAGAACGTTTTGGTATTACAAGAACTTAATTCCTCAATATTTTTTTTCCATGAATCAATAGCACAGATGACGATCAAAGTTTAAATCCTAGTTGTAAAAAATATGAGTACCTGTATAAGAAAATAAACATCAATTGCTGCATCAAATGTTATCTTAAACTAAACACAAGAATTGCCAAAATTTGATTAATGGCAACTGAGTGACATTCATCTGGGAAGAAGTAATGTATGCACTGTTTTCCCTGGCTCAGTGGTCAGGCAGAGTTGGTAGGGGTCACTGGTGTGGTGTGTGTGCTAAGCTGGCCACAAGTCACATCAATATCCTAAGCTAAACTAACTCTTCTCAACCTGGAGTTGTTTACCTGTACAGTATTATAAAGGCAGTTACCTCTCATTTTAAGCACAGTCTTACACTCAACAAGTCACATTCACTAAACTTATTTCCGAGCAAAGTTTGACTCCATGTGAGCTACTCCACGCTGGAGTGAACTAACCCGAGATTTAACTCGATCCTCCATGGAACTTGCTGAAGCATTTCCAAGTTGATTCCTGAAAAAAAAAATTATATTGAACATTAGTAGCAAAAATACTCTCAATTAATTTAAAACAAAACAAGTCTGTAAAATGAAATCTACAACAGTTTTCTAGTTCTGAGATTTTCAAATTTGATTTAAAGTCGTAAGCAGGAGAAAAAATTCCTTCAAATAAGACAACACGTAACATTCATATCTGACATTATGTTTCATTTATACCTTATGACTTAAGAGTATATCAAATACACCCTTTCAAAAGACTCGACACAAATAATCCCTTCATCTCTATGAGACTCTAACCTCAGATAACACAAGAGGAGTATGGAGGTCAAAAATTACACTACCTTACCTCATAAACTTGTCCACTGACGCCTCAACTGCTTCTTCTTTCTTTCTGTCCTCGGCGTACCGTTCAACATTTTCCTTCCTCTCCTTGTCTCGTTTCTTTGCTGCTTCTATCATCTCTTGCCTCTTCTTCTCCATTTCCTCGGGAGTTAATTTCTTTTTGCCCGCACTCTCTCGATCCAGACTCCTACGGGCATGTTCACGTCTGTCTCCACTCCTGCTCCTACTCTGATTCCTATGATGTTTGGACGACCTGTCACCTCTATTTCTCTCTCTGTTGCTACTTTTCTCTCTCTCTTTTTTTCTTTCCATTTCTCGATCCCTAGCTCTTTCCCTCTCTCTACTCTGTTCCCACTTGTCATCCCTTCTTCCTCCTCTGCCTTGTTCCAATCCTCTTCCTCCTTGCCTCTCTCTACTTCTTTCTCTTTGTCTGTGTGGGTCTTTATTCCATGTTCCACCTACACTCCTTTCTCTGTCTCCCTTCTCCCTTCCTTCAGACTCAGAGTGTCCTCCCTTATTATCTATATTCCCCGTCATCTTTTTATCTTCATCATCATCACTATCACTTTCTTCCTCCTTCTTCTTCTTCTTCTTGGATTTCTTCTTATTTCTCTTTTTGCCTTTGTCCTTTTTCTAGAAATATCAAAAATACAATAAGTTACTTAGATTACCTACATGGGATAATTTTTTTTTACATGTACCTCTCTCTTATCTTCAAAGTTTCTCCCAGAATATCATAAAACAGGAATATTTCACTAATAGTCAATTATATCTTAGTTGAAAAGTTTGGGACCAAGATGATAAATTATAAAAAGCCACTATCCCTACAGCTAACTTCCTCTGATGATTCTGCCATTCCTACAGATATTAAAAGAATTAATACACACCAGAACAAATAAACTTACCATCATACTGTAAAAGCTAAAACAAAAACAACCACCTACGTGTTTCTTTGTTTTCTTGTCCTTCTTGGTTTTCAATTTCTTCTTTTTCTTCTTCTTCTTCTTCTTGTGTTCGTCATTGCTGATGTCTGTATCGGATAAATCACTGCTGGTTACCGAATGTTTCCTCTTGTGTGTCTTCTTCTTCTTCTTCTTCTTTTTGCTTTCCATTTTCTCCTTCTCAGAATCTGAATCTGATGAGTCGCTAGATGAACTGAATGACTCACTACTACTGCTATTACTACTGCTAGATCTCTTCTTCTTCTTTGTTCTGATTGTTGATATCTGTAATAAGTAAAACTATCTTAATCATTCAGTAATTACACAGACCCTAGTCTATAATCAGTTAACTATCAATATAATCAGTTAACTATATTAAATACCCATTAATTGCAAACACCTCATCACTGTATTTTAGTATGAGGTGAAATATATCAGCCATGTTACATAATATCTCAGTTGTATCCCCAAAATGTGTCAATACCTGAAGTGGTTAAGTCACAACCCCTCAGACCTTCAATTACAATGCTTAATCCTTGTCCAGTGACTCCCTACTCCCTCCACTGATGATGGCCACCGTCCCTACAGCTAACTTCCAATGATAATGTCCACCGTCCCTACAGCTAACTTCCACTGATATTGTCCACCATTTAAGAGTTAATTAATCATATATAATACTATATGTATCAAGCATAAAAAAAACTAAATATTTGACTAATATTTTACAAGTTTAACCACTGTCAGATTGCAATAATCTACAATTTTTAAACAACACATTTGGTTTGGAAATCCTGGTGTTCATATTCAAAATGAAGTGAAAACACCACAATGAATTTGACCAAATACATTGATCTGTGTTATAAAGACCTAACAACCTACAGTACTTTGACCCCTTCACTATGGGGACGTCACCTTTAATATTCCATGTTGCTAAACCCCAGATGATTTTATTCAACACACAGGGGACCCCATACACAAGTGGTTAAATAACATCTACAGTAACATTGTGTGAAAAAAGATAGCAGGGGGTACAAGGTCACAAGATCAAATTTCCAAAAGTGTAAACCCTGTAGACTCAAGATTTCCGTAAGCATAAACCCTGTAGACTCAAGATTTTATCCATCACACAGAACTCACCAGCTGCTGCAGTTGCTTCATCTTGACGGGATTACTTGTGATCTGTTGTTTAGTTTCTTCTTCTTTCTGACGTATTAGAAGGAGAGGATCTTCCAGCAGCTTCCTCCTCATGTCAACCTGGACGTTACTCATCTCGCGGTGGATCACAGACTCAGGATTGATCTCTAATATAAAGGAAAAGAAATAATAATTGATGTTCTTTATTTCATTTTACTGCCGTTAATTAGTTACATGTACGGTCAGAGTCAAAAGTTTGCTTCCCCTCAAAGTGAAGTGGTATCGACCCCAAATGAGATCAAATGTGCTTTAATTCTCCTCTCTGGTTAAAACAAAAAATGATCCATAAATTAACAAACACACTAGTAATGTATATCAAGGTAATGACATCAGTGACATTTTGGCTCAACTGTATAAAAAAATCAAAACATGAAAATAATGAGGCTCTGTATGGAGACTACATACAGTGCAAGGAAAAATATACATAGGTAATCAAAATATATAGGAATAAAATAGTTAGTCGAAAGGCTGTAGTATGGACAGTTCTATGATTAACAGGTATAGTGTGATTGTCCTTATTGTGTGTAAATAACTTGTCAATAATGTTCAGTGGAAGTAAAACAATTTTGCATTTTGTCCAGGTAAATGGTATAACCTCAAGAGACAGACTTAACTGACCGTGCTCAATGGTATACGCTGCTTTACTTGGCTGAGGGGGGGGAGCTGGTTGTTCTCCCTCTCCAGAAGGTGAAGGTACAGCATCTTCAGATTTCTCCAGCTGTTCGAATGCTTTGTCAATCTTCCTCCCCAGTAAGTATTCCTCTCGGTTAACATGACCTCCTGGCCCCTGAGAAGAAAATGAAGCAAAACACAGATGCAATTATCATATCTCTAGGAAAGATATAGTTCAAGAGAAATGAATAGCTAATCTAATAAGTAATGATGAATTAATTGTAAACACTGTTAGGTTACCTTACATTTGCCTCACACTAAAGTTCTCTAAAATGCTACATGATACCAGTTGTTTTATTCCTTAGATCTAAAAATAAGCGATGTATGAAGAGCAGTTCTGTATTCTCCAATCATGGGATGTATGGAATCTCATTTAAATTAAGTAAAGAGAATAAAATCAGTCCATTATACATATATTGTATCATGAATGTTAACCAACCTTATACATCCAATCCAACTTGTCATTTGACTTTTTGTCGACCGCCCCAGAGTCTTCAGCAGTTTTTCTCAGCATCTCCCTCTCTCTCTCTTCCTTCAACTCTCTCTGGAGCTCAGCCATTTTGCGGTCTTCTTCTGCTTTCTGTTGTTCCGCCTTCCACACTCGCTCCTGGTTCTTCATGGTGTGAGGGTGCCATGACTTCTTCAGGTTCTGTAGGAAAGGTACCAGTATTATGTTGCTCAGTGGTGTTTCCTTCTGCAATACCTGTCTGGAGTGGAGGATTAGGTTCCCTCCTTGTCCACTAACCCTTAAGCATTAAACAATAAATAAATCCACTATTGGGTTCACATGCCAATGGTAGACTAACCTCAAGCACAGTACAGTATTACCAATTGTTGATGGTTCCGAGATGGCTGATTTTGTAAATGTTTTCTTATCACACGAAATCGGTGAGAAATACACAAGCAATACATATTTCAGTGAATCATTTTACACATTTTACATCATTCATCTATAGAGAGGACTCCAAAATCCAAGTAACATGTTTGTTGTACAGTATATCTCAGTATGGGCTCTTTTAATTTTTTTTTTTAATATAAAAGCAGAATATAACAAGTATTTCAAGTTTATTTAGGTTAAGTTAGGTTCAGGTTTGGTCAGATAGCTTAGTATGGCTTATTTTATAAATGATATACATTACTGTATTATCAATGATTACTCTTGGCACCTGCTATTATTCACCAAGTACTGTATATTGGGTTAGAGTCATCTCATACCCAAGACAACTCGTACCCAAGATAAATCGTACCCAACTCACGAGATCAGTCGTATCCAAGATTACTTAAACCCAATTCAAGTGATAATCCATACCTATTTGTATACAGCTCCTCCACGACTTACGACGGGGTTAGGAACCCAAATCCAGGTCGTAAATCGAAATGGCCGTAAGTCGGAAATGCTTAAATAATACCTGTACATAGAAAATCTAAAATGGGTGTCTCTTTTTCTTTTCAGCACCACAAAACACTCACTTTTAAGCTTGCCAGCCATTTTAAAGTGAATTACAAACGGAAATTTTGTCTGTGTACTGACTTTGGGACTCGAAAATACATAATTTGACCAAATTTTGGTACGATTGAGGCAGGTCGTAAGTGCGGGTGGTCGTAAGTCGAGTAGGTCATAAGTCGGGGAGGAGCTGTATATACCATGCATTTTAGCTTTATCTATGATTATAAAAAAAGAGATTATGTAAATCTTGTAGGAAAGCGCAGTGAAATTGGGAAATGTAATGCAGGCTTTAAAATGGTTGCATCTCATTACATAAGTATGTTATTCAGTCACACAAACATTGCATTACAAGTACATATTTCACACTATGTGGTTTAGAATAACTTTATTGTAATTTACAGATTTCAGGCTAATAGACTTGGCAGTTTCAATTTATAAACTGGGCGACATAAATGTTTAATATGGTCTGAAGTCAACAAAATATAGACATGCATAAAAACAGATTAATTTTCCAGCTCCAGCTTTTAGTAAACAAATTAGTTAGTGTACAGTACAGTCTGTCTTCGACTTATGACGGGGTTCCATCCCGACGACCAGGTCGTAAGTCGAAAAGGCAAAAATAATACATAGAAATTCTAAAATGGGTGTCTCTTTATTCTTCTCAGCACCACGAGAACTCTCATTTTTAAAATTGCCAGCCACTTTAAAGGGAATTACAAACGAAAATTTTGTCAGTTCACAGCGCGATCACTAACGTCAGGACTCGAAAATACGTAATTTGAAAAATATTTTATACGACAACGGCGGTCGTATGTCCTGGTTGTCGTAAGTCGAGGAGTACCTGTATATAATTCGGGGCTCCTCTCTGGTTCTTCTTCTGGTATAATGACCTTGTTCTACAGAGTGGCTGACATCATGAAATCGTCAGGAATTTCTTCTTCTGACATGTCAATGTCAAGAATGAAATACAGTAGTAATAAGGATATAAAAGAATGAAGAGTGAGAATATTAGCCAACATATATACATTAGTTATGTTATTGTATATTAATGATACTCTGGATAGATTTGTTTAAAAAGTCACGACCACACAGAAACAAGACCAGTATGAGTAATGTAACGACTTGATTATGTGTCACCCAATATTTACGCTCTTCCTATATACTGTACAATAATTTACTTGCATATATATATATATATGTACAGGTACGAACTGCCTTGTAAATTGGGTACAAGTTGACATGTTCTGCTTAGTACGATTTGCTTGGGTATGAGTTATCTAGCACCCCTGTATACTACTTCACTCTACAATTATAGTTCAAAATGAACTAAACCTACCTAACAAAAACAAATGCTAAATGGGGAAAGCTTTAGAACTTCCCTAAGTTCGGAAAGGTTAGGTCAGGTTCTCAATTTTTTTAACCAGAATTTTCCATCATCTTCAAAGGCCTTTGCCCACTTTGGAAGGATGCATTGTCGTTACTTATGTTAAAGGGGTCGTATTTCATAAATTAAAGATCATATTCGTTAAAATAATAACAAAACACGTACGAAAACACGATTTTAGTATTAAAGAAACGAGTTGGACATAAAATGAATCTTTACCCAAATGAACCATCATATAAATTCATATTGACGTAAGATGAACCAATTAATCATTAGTGGTGTACACATTAAGGAACACATTCAGCCATTACAAAACTTAAATCAAAATATTACACAAAACCAAGTAAATATTCCTTACCAGATCTCCCCCTCCCATTTTGATGAATTATCCCTTTCTTCTTGTGTTATGAGTAGAGGACATTAGAGCCCGTCCCCGCCAGTGAAGCTCTACCACCTGTCCTCTCATGTAAACAAATAAATGACCTCGTTCGTGAGTCATGAATCCCGATGAAGTCGTTCCTTAATCCCCGTGACGTCATGACTCCTTATTTTGCTGACGTCATGACTCCTTATTTTGCTGTATATAGTTGTCCATAGATTATTTGACCCATTTTAATTTGACTTGATGCCTGTAGATAAGAATGAAGGGCTATTGCTTGTTGGGTTGGAGGGTATGGGGGTTTGGAAGGTGAATGAGGGGGAAATTTGAAGTTAAGTAACCGGGCTCGACCAGATATGCTGTATTTTAAAATTCTATGTTTATATTTTGTACTAATAATTTAATTTTACGTTACAATCGTGTCTTAATATATACTATTATCATGTGACACCATGGAACCAGAGTAGCTTGTAGTCAATGGTGTGAGTCACATATTGCTTCCATTGTTGTGACTTGGAAGTAAGTAATATTATCGAGTAATATAAAAAAATAATCAATATTACTGTAATTATTTTATTATATTATTTTTATATTTAATAACATTTGATCATAATACTGACACTGATAATGTAAACACAAAATTTATAAAAATATTGGAACACTTAAAATTAACTTAAAGAATCCATAATGGCTTCTACTGGGTATATACTATACCACATTAGTTATACGGTATTGAACTGTTTCAATGTTTTATTAGTGTGTGCGGCCATTCCTACCACCTGTTAAAAATACATGATAATTAATGTAACTATTTAAGTACAGCACTGGGTAATTATTCATTGGTCACGTCTGATACTTTTCTTTTTCTTTTATCCTCTTCACCACTGATCGGCTCGTTAGCCACTTGGGCGATCGGTCACATCTCTGTTATGCTCCTGAATGTACCTGAACCTGCTCAAGTACTGGTCAAGTCTTGAAAGAGCTCACACTCGGTGCCGTCACAACACTCTCTGGTAGATTGTTCCAAGAGTTTACAACTCTCACTCCGAAAAAGTTACCCCTCACAGTTTTCTGGACTTGCGGCTTCTTCAATCTTGAGCTGTGACCCTTGTGGGGCGAGCGTCCGCCAGCTCCAAGTAAGGACACTCGACTGAGTAGTGCCTCCTGAGATGCTTATACACCTCTATTAGGTCACCCCCTTGCCCGTCTGTAGTACCAGTAATTGCTGTATGATGATAAAAGGATGTTGAGGGTAAAGAAATATTTTCAAATCCAGATTATTTTATTGTTCTAACTATGCATTATATGATAACCTGTAACAGATCACCATAAACGTGTGCACACTACTGACTAGAACAGCATACAAGCAATCATATGAAGCCTCTTACACACTTTCTCAGGTAATTTACACGTCTCACTGTACGTACACTCTTACTGACCAAATACTCAGTACAGTATAAACATTGGCATAGAATTCTTACCAACTCTGCCACTGAAAAAAATCAAGCCCTCGGTTTTCTATGAATATAATCTAATGCAAAATCTTAAGTTCACACAAGACTCTCATTCATATTCTGGCAATATATATATATATATATATATATATATATATATATATATATATATATATATATATATATATATATATATATATATATATATATATATATATATATATATATATATATATATATATATATACACACGGTATATAAGACTAATGAGACATAACCTAATTTTGATTCTAGAAGATGATAGCACAAGGAAATAAATCATATCAATGCATTTTTAAAAGTTTACATAATCTTTAAATGTGTTGTAAAATGCCTTAAAATAAGTATATTTTATAGGGCAAACCTTTTTAAGAATAATTTTCATGGCTTATGGTCAATCTGTTCTTTGTCTGGGAAAAACTAAACATGAAGACTACCTACACTGTACCACAAGTAATCACCCAATAGAGTAAAGTCTAATTCATCTAACAGTTCTCATCAATAACAAAATACTAACTTCCTTTCAACACACCAGGACAGCACTCAGGTAACATACAGAGATACCAACAATGACAAACTGAGACATGCCAATATATCCTTCACACTGTGTTTAATTAGTGAGCTGGTTTACTCATATATTATCACCTACCTTTTAACAAATATAATCTGAGCTACACTCCACAAAATTCACTCATTAAAATTATCAATGACTGGTTAGCTCATAAATATAATAACATACTAATTTAAGTGCTTACATATGCAGTAGTTAATTTCACACAATCTCACAACTTCGTAAATTCTAAACTCTTTTAAATTAATTCATTACAAACATTGCCAAAAAATATATGTCAGTATTTTCTAACAATACCGTATGTGTTTTGGACATAATCCATATCTAAAAAAAATCTTGCATATTTTAATACAATAAATTAAAATCTTGCTTATCCATAATGGCAACTGATTATGTTAACAATGACAATCACTAGTATTGATATTTTAAGCTTTAAATTCACTGTCTGGTTTACTGTATAGAAATAAAGCATTAAAGCAGCTTGAAGCTTTTGGACAAGTTGTTTCTAATGTATGATTCACATCCACGTGCCAATGGACACAACAAAATGTAAGTACAGTATATCAGTAAAAACAAAAACCTATCTCAGTAAAATGTTCAGAATTTTCTAGTCCCTAATGTAGATAAAAAGTTCATACATTACATATATCCAAAGCTTGTATTTTCTGGCCTATTTCATTTTAAAAGATACTTATTCTATGGAAGAATATAAGAATGTGAACAAGGAAGAGAATATCATACTACTCCAGCACAAAAAAGAAACGTCCTCCTGGAAGAACCAATATTAATATGAAGTATTTCTCACACATACACACACACACACAGACAGTTCTGACCCACTGGGATATCTATACTGTAGTACTGTACCACACTTAGTAATGATGGCAACCAGGGATATGAAACATACAGCTGGCCTGAACTAATGAGTATTACAAACATTCAAATAAATATTCACGTGGTTAATTGAACCTTAAATAGTGTTTGATAATGTCTTATTACATGTATGGACAAAAATCAGGAGCTGTGGCTAACTATATGTAACATATCATCAACAGGTTCTCACCATAACCAAATTATTTACCCCATATCTTCATTAGCCAAGTGTTAATAACCCAAAGTATATGTTATCCAAGGCACATGACTTTTGAATCACAACTTCTTCATGATTTACACAGCATGGTAACTTGAAAACATAATACCTTTCAAATTTACATGAGTGTAAATGACTTACTAACACAACTGTACAGGAAATTTGTCTCATTTTTTCATAGGTAGAGTGAATAATGTAGTAAAACCTTGATGAATCAAACCACAAATGAATAAAGTAATAATTCAACCATATACAGTCAGGAGCAAAGGTCAAATCGCCTCTCCTCCTGAACCATGAACCCCGAGATTCAGACTCATGAATCCGAAGCATTAATGAACAGAATAATACATCACCGCCTACGGCTTCGGGTTCACAAATCTGAATCCGGGGTTCGTGAAGCAGGAAAAGAGGCAACAGGACTATGTAAACTCTTATGGTAATTACAGAACAATGGTAAAATACTTATAAAACACACAAACATTATAAAAAACATAGATATACTGTACTGAAAAACCTATAAAACACTGGTTAAAATTCATTCACACGCAACACAAAAGTTAAAATAATTGTACTACCTATTCAATATTTCATGATTGGGTATATCTAATCTGGTCTTCTTGTTTTATACAGCAAGATTCATTTATATTAATTTATTAAGTCTCAAACTCTTATTTTTCTTCAACCTATTCTACACTTTTTTTCTATACAGTACAGTTGAACTTCTCTAACCCAGTAGTCTATAGTCCAGCACCATCCTAAGTTTGGACGATTATAAATTCCAATATTGTCATTCTTACTTTGAATTATTATTTTTTCGGAATGTTGTTTGACTTTGTGGTGTGGCATGATTGTTTTAGTTCTTGCCGTCTCGTGGGTCCATAGGGCCATCTCCCGCCTCATTGCAGCCTTATTGTTTCCCTTGGTTGGACTATTGTTCATCTTGGTCGGATAATTATTTACCTTAGACTATTGTTTACCTTCGTCGAACATTTCTCCGCTGTGTTTATATAGGGGCATAACACCACAGACTAACCCTTAATAATAGCTTGAAAATATCCAGTAATAAGTGTTGATGAAGGATCAGTTTAACATAAGCATTAAAACCTGTCAATTTAACATTAGGTGGACAATTTTGAAGAAGCTGGACATTGGTGTTTAAGTGAGGCAACTGTGTGAGATGTATCATAGAGGGTCATCTAGCGTGTGATTTAAAGAATACCAAACAAGGTGTAATTTAACTCGATGGAAAACAAGAATAATCATATTAGAAGCAGATTTATAGCTACAGTTAAGGTGATTTAATAAAAACACACTGTACCTATTTTCTCCTTTATTATTTCATTCTCTTTTACTGACCGTTTTTAGTCCCACAAAGTCTATCATCCAGCAACAGGTCCCAAGGTTACCAGATTAGAGAAGTTCAACTATTTATATACTCTATATATTTCTTTGTTCTAAACATTTGTTCATATATTGAACTGTAATCCCTGTAGGCAAACTTATAACACAGCAACACATTCTGTTTACAATTCAGAGTAAATTAAGTTTGTTCACTTTCACTGTATCTCAGTTTTGTTCATAAGACAACTCTGTCTCTTAAATCACTCATAACAAATCTTAATGAATTCTGTGAAGTTTCTCTGGTCAGATGAGGAATCATAGATAACATAATATAATTCTCTTAATTTATGCATGAGAGGTATGTTTGGTGCAACTTACTGATATATACTAGACATAATTTGTATACGTAAATAGTTAACATAAATTAATATATTTCCACAAAAATAAGTGTAAACATCTTTAAGATGAGGACACGAGAACACTCTGTTCCCAATAAAAGATTTTAAGTAAATAATAAAATAACAGTGTCTTAATAGTGTGTTTCCCACTTTGGATATACCGTAAATCAAAATGTGAACTGACAACAGAGAAAGTCATATAAACAAGTTGTGGAATCATGAACAGACAAAACAATCAAGAACCTTTAGTGAATGGTCATAAGGTAAATAATGGGTAATAGAATTCACAAATTAACACAATACAGTATAGACCAAAAACTGCTATAAAAATGTCCTCTACTGCAGCGAAGAGAAAAAAATGCTAAATCTGAATCTGTCATATCTAAGTTTACACAGATTTATTGAAACCCTAACCACAAATTTGAGAGGATCTTGACCAACTGCCCAAATGGCTACTAAGCTGTTAAATGATAGTTACAATACCCTCCCTCACAATTTTTCTTGTAAAGTCAATTATCTACAACTATCAGAAATGTCTCATAGCATCATCAACATCTAAGATTGCAAATATTTTTCAATAGAATTCCCTACACCAATCCCATCTTTGATTGACTTGGGGTCTTTGGGATAAAGAAATTTCTGATCAGGGGCTGAAAAGGTCTGAATCTTTTCATATACATTGAACAAAATTCTGCATCACATACAGACATAGTGAATAGTATCTCCAATTACCACAACCCAGTGATAAGGTGTTTTTCCTCACAAGCAAGTGGTTAGGTGTTCAATTCCCAACCAGAGTGGAAGGTTAGGTTCCCTCTCTGTACGGTAGCCTTGTGCACCCAACAATAAAATCATTACACTGCTGGGAGACCTTACTGGTGATGAGAAACATTCTTTGCTACAAGAGTTTCCTGTCAGGAGGATGGAGTAACCCACAAGTATTTGCCAAATGTTAGGAATTAGGGGATAGCACCTGCCTGGTCACCCTGCATTATAACAGGAAAAAAAATGCATATTATCTCTTGATTAATCTGAACCACATGTACTGTACTGAATCATGCACAACACAAGATACAGCGTGATTAATTTAGTAGTTAGTGTGACGATACCGGGTTTAGTCACAGATAATCACAGCATACAACACAGGGATTAGGGGTTATTTATCAATACCCATTTACTAATACAAAATTATTATAGCTCTTAAAAATTCCGTTAAAAAATATTTAAAACTAAGAATTACAATAAATAATTTGGGAGTCGTCACAGCCAAACTATCATCCCATTTATAAGGGAACTTGATGATACCACTCAATCAGGTTCACCAGCAAAATAAACCGATGACTTCTGCTTAACATACAGTATATATAAAGCAAAATAAGTGCTATTTCCTTGTACTCAAAAACTAAGATTGATGACAAGGTTGAAAGATGGGTCAACAAAGTACAGTACACACACAGACGAAAGTATATAAGTGTATAACAAAAAAAATAAAGAAACAAGTAAAGCCAAACAAAACAAAAAAATACCCATTGATTAAGGAAAGACTAAACTTTTATAATGTATACAAGACCAAGTGATCAGATACAAACGTTACTAAATACTCTGGGTTGACTCGCATGATGTCAGGCCACCGAGACTGATTCGCATGACGTCAGAACCAACTCGAACTCTTCCTAAAACACGATCTTCATTCATCCCATAATAAAAGTGTATAACTCAACCTTAATTCATATATCAACCTACATCCAATGTCTTGTATATATAATAGAGAGGAGTACAGTACAGTATATATTAGTCTTGGACCACTTGAACCCCAGCCACTTCTACTAGTCTTTACATCTTCTAACTGGGCAGTCAGTGAGAACCTTGAATATTATCTAAAAAAAATATCAATCTTACCAACTACATCCTTCTCTCTGTTCTATTTCCCAGAATATATTTGTTTTATTAAAGTTATATCAATTTACTGTAAAATATACTTTGTAAAATAAGAGTATAAAGTTAAATACATACAGGGTCATGTTTTTATCCAAAACTCTATTTGATTACCTACCATATTTCAGTACGTGCAGTAAACAGGATCCTAAAACTCTGTAGGAATAAAATCTGATAATTGTGAAATATTTATGATCAGACTTTATTCCGACTGATTTTTAGGTCTGTTTATTGCATGTCCTAAAATATAGTTATCTTTCAGAGTTCTGGAATAAAATAATGCCTGGTAAATGCCCGGGTACAATGATGATAGTTCAGCACAGCATCTAACAACAACATAATTTTCGGAGTCTCTCATAAGGTCAGAGAAGCAAGTTAAAGATAATGGTTCAAGGTGTTCGCTGCCTCGTCCTCTGGCATGTTTACGTCTTCCATTATCAAAAGGTGATCAACCCAAGAGTTCAGTGGAGTCAAACCACAAAACATGAACAACAAAAATAAACCAAAGCCAAAGTGTTACACAAAACCAACTAAACAGAAATTGCTGAAGCTACATTTATTATAATTATTTAAATGATAATAAGCAAAAGGCAAAAATAGCCATGTACAGTACAGTACCTCATTCACATTTATTATGCAGTAAAGTATTGGAAAAAAATTGCAAAAGTGTTTATACATTGTATTCAATAACGTGTAGTGCGCCTTCTGTACCTCTCTATAATAATAGAGAAAAGCATCATATATACATACAGGTATGTATATATTTGAATGTTCTAGTAAATAATAATTCAGGATATAACACAGTACATAATACAGTATTATATTTTGGGAAGCAAACTAAAATTCCTCAATATGAACAACAACTTTGAAACACACAAAGCCTTTACGTGGTTTCATTATTTAATTTTCTGCGTCAACAATGCCTCGACACTAACACGACCTTACTAACAAACGATGACAAGAAGCACACACGACTTTAAATAAACTCTAATGGAATGAATATATCATTAGCAGCACCTTGATGAGCTGTGATACCAAATACAATTTCTGCCATAGAGTGGCCAAGGGTTTATTCTTTAAACTAATTAAAATATAACTACAGCATAAAGGATATTGTACTAACCTTCTCTAGGAAAGTAAATGTAATTAAAAATATTCCAGATAGTTTTTGTGGAGCACCAACTAATATTTCATAATATTGTCATCTGGTTTGGTTCACCATTAGTAAAAGAGATTTCTGTTTCTAACTACGAAGACACATGTCAATGGTTGAAGATTTAAGATTGACAGGAAAAAATCTCACAGAAAGTCACAAAGTTTTCATTGAACACATTTAGCCCAGCAACTTGTGTTAACACCTTCAGTTAATCCAGTCTGAGGGAAAATTTAAACTTGACTCAACATTGCAATAGGAGTGGATTAATGCAGCTGAAACAATAAGTGAGACTGAGAATAAACGTCCAAATTCTTCAAGTATTTTACGAAGTCTATTGAGTGTTGCAGAGGTTAAAAAGACGTGTTTACTTAGTCCCCCCACCGAGTAAGAGTGTGGACCGGGACAAAAGCAGCCCCCCCAAGTTACTCCCCAGTCCCCTATCATAAGACACTGGCACTATGTCACACAAGTAACACCTCATACTCCACAATACAACCTCCACACATCTGCTAGTATTCACCCCTGTAGAAAAAACACAATATATGAGACATGTTAAAACCACATCTGTATTGTCTTAAAGCTTAATTAGTTACCACCAGGATAATAAGTCATATTTACAACATACTGTACTTGCCCTAATGTCTTTCATGGGGGGTTATCTAAAGAGTATCAGCTTGATATTCAAGATTAGTGGAACAGTACAGTACATGTATAAAGGGCAAGAATGTCATTGTTTACCATCTTGTTACTTAACTTACTAAAGATCAGATAGAGAAGATATTAATTAGCTTAAATTTACATACTATTGAAATCAAATTTTTATTGTCCTTTGGTCATCTAAAGCAGGGGTCACCAAACTTTTTTCACAGTGGGCCAGAACGAAAGCTCTGGTAACGTCAGAGCGTAGGCAGAGCTACCACGAGCCGGGGAAGGACTTGGAATCCGGCCCGCGGGCCGTAGTTTGGTGACCCCTGATCTAGAGCATAACAGCATTTACACTTTGGAGTACACAAACTGGTGCTATGTGGCAAAACAGTACAGCACTGTTATTGATCACTTTGTCTATAAAACTCAGACAAATATTTTACAATCTTGAAATTCCTTTAAATAGTCAGTTTATGTACTTAGCAGTATCTTGCAAATGGTTAAAGTTAGGATAAGTTATATTTATGATTCTCTTAACTTAGGGAGTTTGGATTCTGTATCTGATAAAAGAATATTGTAAATATCCTTCGTGTGATTAAGTTCAAAGTTGTAATATAAAGAATAATTTAAGTTTAAATATTCAAGACAATATGCAAAGGCAAGTACAAGTACATATAACAAACTTCTTAAACTTTGATCAAAATCATGCACATGCAAAAAAAAATACTAAAAAAAAAAATACAAAAAAAATACTTCTACTCACACAACAAAGTCAGTACACAATATACAAAAAATCTATTCCAAATATATAACACAAACCTATACTAATGATGCCAAGCAAACAAAAAGCTGAAGCAAGAGCCAAAATATGAAACTAAATCATTATATAAGGAACACTGCTGCAGGCGACACATACATATAGTAATATTCCTTTACTTTAGTATTCCAGTTGTTAAATATCCTCGCCAAACATTGCCACATCTTCAACACTTGTTTATAATTATATTTTGTTTTTAAGAAGTCCAGATCACATTTCTCAAAACAATACACAAATATCAAGATCAGTTTAAAGGTAATTTTGCCTCCTATAATTTCTCCCAGTGATAGTACATTCCACTTTGATATACAGTACCTAGTTTACTGAATGTAACATAGGACAGTAATGTATAAAATGCAGCTGATTTACTCTAGAGGAACACTGAAATCCACAAACAATGCTGATGTTTTAATTAAGTCAACTATATCCCGGGAGAGTACAGAAACTTACTCTTCCTCAAACTTTCACATAAAAATTACAATAAGTCTCCTATCAGCCAACAAATTCATGATGGTGGGCCAAAAAACATAACAAGAGTACAATATATTGGCATTTATAACTCATTAGACCTTGCTAGTAAATTATATCATCACCATACAAATTAAGTGATCATTTGCATCTAGTAAAATAAGCTGCAACATCACTACAAGTATTAAATAGATTACTCTCCTTGTGTAGCAAACTGTGAGTACAATAGTCTGCATCACAGAATAGCCATCAAAGTGTTATTAATGCAAATTTGATCTTTAAACTTGTATATCATAACATACTGTACATCACAAGACAATCACTTCAACTGACCACATCTTGAGTCTAACACATAAAGATGGTATGGTACTTCCCCACCTCACACACTGGGATGATGGTACTTCCCCACCTCACACATTGAAGGGTAACACTGTACTGTACTGCTAAACATATCATGTAAATTAATATCTGGAGAGGATAATATTGTATTCCTCTCATATAATTATGTTTTAAGAATATTGTCATGTTAAGTATGTCTAGAAAATCTTTGGATACTAAGAAAATATTATTGTTGTAGGTAGAATTAGAGTTAGGATTAAATTTTTCTCACTATACAGTATACATATATTTCCAGAAAATCTATGGCATCGCAAAAGACATACCATTACAGTCAAGTCAAAATCTGGTTAGGACATCTACACCCAATTGAACAGAATCATTATGTTGGAACTAAACTACATAAAAATACTGTATTGAACTTCAGTCTAATCATAAGGAATACAACACTTCCTCGTAGGCAATCTGTTAAAATAATATAATTAATCACCCAGCTCTGAGGATGACATGACAATAAATCAACTGTGGGCACGTTTCCTAGTACAGTAAATATCAACATAATACCAAATTTAACCGGAGCATTAAGTACTGTGCTTATTATATTCAATACACGTTTTAGGCTGGGTTTTTTCTGCCCTTCTGGAAACCATGACTAACACAGAGTACCACTAGCTTATTATAACAGTACTCTAGCTTATTTTAAGAGTACTATATGTCACACAAATACCAGTTTCTGTTCTGTAATCTGTCCATCACTCTCAGGGGAAAACCTCTATCCTCCTCTCATAGACCAATGGGAAAACGACCCTAAAACAGTTCACCAATCAAAGGTCTAAACTGAAAATATCGGTAATGCCTCAACATATCACAGAAATCAATTCAATGTGTACTCAGATTGTCACACAGGAAATACTTGAGCAGCTATTTATAACACTACAATTTCCTTTACATTAGATAGAAGTCTTAGAGAAGGTCCATTTACATCAAGATTTCACAGTAACTAAAAAGCCGAGGGGGTACAAATCTAATTCCAGTTTGACGAGAGAATTATACCATGACCCGAGTACCCCAAGACTACCCCCCTCCTACACAGATCGGTAATGACTATACCCACTCCTTACAAAAAGGGATATTAAACATGATCTTTTACCACTGAAAATCCCAATGAAAAAGATCAAAAACAGAAATAAAGCTCTGTATATTTCGCCCATAACTTAGGATCTTTTTCAAGTTAGTCGAAATACAGTGTTCTTTATCATCATCTTCTTTAGTGGGATTTCAGTGTTATAATTTAAATGGCATTATATAATTTCTTCGAGTACTTTTTCCCTTGATTAATACATACCAAGAAACACCTACAGTGTCTATTATAAAACCTTGAAAGACAACTAAAAGTATTCAAAGTTTAGGAGTACAATGGAGTATCAACAAGGGGGAAATATTTAACACTGGATATCTAGGTTTTGTTTACTTTTACAATCAACAATTTAAGAAGAGAGGAATAAACAATTAGAATTATCAAGATAGCAGAATGATCAACTTTGAACATGTCTTTGGGAATGGGAATTTGAACTTTATGGCTAACTACTAAAAGGACTAAATTTCAAGGCTGTAACTATGCCATCAAAATATGCATGACAAAGAGAACATTAAATAAAGATAATAATAATAGTAAAAATAAATATAAAAATAATAAAGTAATAATAATATTTCAGTAAAATTTCATATCCTTTCAATGTTGCAAACAAAATCCACGTCCAAGCAACTATTGGCAATCATACAGTATTTCTAGCCGTAGGTTCGTCCAAGCTCACAGTACAGATTTATCTGATTTTCAACTGATTTTTATTATCCTAAATAAGAAGGAAAATAAGCTTTGGGTCGTAACATTCTGGGAGATTTGGCATAAATAATCATAGTAACTTTAATTATTATTATAATGGCACCTCTGGCAGGTCTCAGTTCTAACCAACACTAAAAAAAATTAGCATCCAAGTCAAGGATCTGAACCTCTTTGTGTTCAGATGAGGAAAAAAAAGATTGAAACCTCATACACTCTTTCATTTGACTTATAGAAATGGGATCTACTTTAGGGAGAACAAATGGTGACTTAGTGAGGTACAGTCGCCTTCACTTATACCCGGTACAGTGGCTGGTGTATTTTGTGAGATGTGGCAACTCTGTGTTTATTTACATCATATTACAACTCCTGGAATTGTCCTACAGAACTTCGCAATAGGAGCCAGACTAAGCATTCCACAGAGTTGCCACATCTCACACAACACACCAGCCACTGTACAAGGTATAAGTGATGGCAACTGTACCTGAATACATCATAACAAGAGTTCAAACTTCAACAGTAGTAATGTAGGCAAGATGTATATATATATCACGATTGCACAAGTCTATACAGTATTTATATTCCAACCCTTCATCTCTCACTTTAATTAACCATTGTATGCTTTATTTAATGACATCTAACACTGAAGTACAATATAAAACAAAATACTGTGTTCTCCATTTAAATCATCAAGTGAATTCAAGTTGTGCTCAATAATATTTAATAAAAAACATATAAGTCTATCAGAGGTGAAAACAGATGTCCTTGGAGTGGGAAGAATGAGTAGTTGTCAAAGTCTTATTCCAAGGAAATATGACCCACTGACTCCCCTCCCCCCCACCCCATAAGTAAAAACCAATACACGACCACGATGCACAAACAACCGTCCAGCACCGCTACCCAACGCGACACAAAGCAGGATAGGAGGAAACACCCAGCGACACTTACTCTCCGCGTTGGTAGTAGTAAACTGCTTTATAGTACAGGTCTATAAACTTCTACACTGATCAGGTATAAATGGCAACACAAAAATGTATAAGGTTCAACTTCTAAATGCATATAATAATTGTAGAGACTTTGCTAACAGATCTCAGATATACCATAAACATTTCCAGTCGTATTGCGTAACGGTAAAAAAGATCTCACTACCACCCTAAGCAAAGAACACAGCTGATTGGCTAACGAACTGACTGAAGGCTTTACGTTACTTGGTTGGGGAGTTTAGGGAACCAAAAATAGTTTGAAACGTCTCTGGCACAGATCTGAAAAGGAAATAAAGACACTCAACTTGACAACAAAAAACTGAAGAGGAAAGCTTTTAAAAATATGTTCTAACAGTAAGCATTATTATTGTGCCACATAATAAGCCTAAATCTACATAAACTAACGTAACTCTAGAGAAAGATCCGGCAAGGTGTAGTTTGAGCCGACACAACAAACAAACTCACTATCCCATTCAATTTTTGTTTTTTGGGGATGCATTGGTATTCAGCTGAGCTCATAATTCTTTACTAATCTTTCTCCTTGACTCATTACTTTAAGAAACAAATAAAAGAAAGTTCAATTTGTAAAACATTGTGCTCAAAATACATTCATCTTGCTAAACTAATATACAATATGATCTAAGACACTGGCAGGCCACTATATAAAAAATATTTACTTTTTTAATATCAAATAAGCCAATGATTAATCCTGAGTATTTATAATTTCTGATAAAAAGTTAAGTCACATGAGATTCTTTTGTAAAGGATAATTTATCATTTAAAACCAGAAGAAAGAAATTTTTAAAGTGTTAATAGTTTATCACAGGTAATAACACTGGTTTTAAGACTTACACACACATACATCTCAAGCCTAAGTTTAGTTAATTATGAATAAACTCAAGGTCTGCACACTTGAGTATTTTTATTGGATATGTGGAAGAAATTTCAATGGCCTCAGGTACCTTGAATCTTCAGTTGTACACTACACCACTTCCTCCACCACCTCTGATATTGAATTTAAACGGCTAATTTATCTAGTGGTTCAAATACTCAACTGTATTACAGCTATGGCAAGAAAGTGTCAATGCTATGGGACGAGACTGTTGAAATTAGTAGACTGTTAGAGGCACCGTTTACCCTAAAATTATGTTGAACGAGTCAAAGTGAAATAGAAATCTTTATCTTTTCCTGTAATACTTTATCTTAAATTTTCTCTATGTACTAAGATCATCCATTAAAACAATTTCCATTCCTTCATTGTTCCACTTTTCAATGATAGAATCTATGAATACTTCACTGTACAGTCCCATTACAGACCAAGATGGCTGCCACATTCCCCAAGATAAGATTTAGCCACATTTCATCTAAAATCACCCTTTATGAATATCCACCAACTCTTTGGATGGTGAATACAAATATATTACAGTACTCTACTTTTTGTTTTACTCTAAGTTTTTAAGTCACTGTACCAGTAATTGAAGTGGGATTTTTGAACTAAGTGGTACTTTGTTCACACCACCAAAGTGAGTGTTTTACATACGTATACAATAATTTGTATTTACGGTCCATGGCATCATACTTCAGTGTTTTGTGTACAGGTACTTGATAAATTGGCTGATAGAGAGCTACATCATATACTGACAATGGCATCCAGTAGAAAGAGTCTACATAGAAATTTAACTCTTAACCGGAGGCTATGGATTCCCTACTCCGCAAGGAACAAGAAACGTCCACTGATGATGGCCACCGTCCCTACAGCTAACTTCCACTGATGATGGCCACCGTCCCTACAGCTAACTTCCACCGATGATGGCCACCATCCCTACAGCTAATTTCCACTGATGATGGCCACCGTCCCTACAGCTAACTTCCACTGATGATGGCCACCGTCCCTACAGTTAACTTCCACTGATGATGGCTGCCATATAAGGGTAAATATACTACCTTATACAATACAGGGTGTCTCAAAAAAATAATACACATTTAGTTGGTGGTTTTAGAGAGTTAGTGGTGTAGTGAACTAGCTGGGCTGTGTGTTGAGAGGCCCGACAGCTTATACCAATTTCTAGATCTCTTCTAATTGCTATTCAAAATCTACACAATAATTCCTTGAAAGTAAAAGTAAATAATAATGATAATAATAATACAGTACATATACAGATTTATGTGTAGTACAGTTGGGGTCAAAAGTTCGATCCCCCTCAAAATGAAGCAGTAGTGACCCCAAACGAGACAATACAAGAAAACGACACCAAGCGACAGTCGGGGTAATTAAGTTCGGAGACTCATTCCCATGACTTCCCATGACTTGGTTTTAACACAGGAGAGCGAATTTTTTCCCCCCGACTGTACATATATATATAAAAAATAAAACACTGCATAATAAAAATAATAACAAACTAAATTAAAATTAAATGCAAAGCAAACAAAACAAAATTACTTACACAAACACCTTGATTATACATGACCCAGACAATAATATATTTCCCCTACACAAAACACATTATAGGGAGATAAATTACCACTCTATAACACACCTTTTGGATAAGAGAGGGAGAGATCCAATAAAAAACTCAAGTGTCCTTTATAAACAATAGGTAAATGCTTAAAACTCTCATCCCTGGATATAAGTTATAGACTATCTCCATAATCTCTAGGTGGTGAAGACACTACACGCACAAAATATTGACAAAACATCACATTTGTCTGGATTCTGCATAAGTAAAGCAGGTAACCTTTACTTTCAAAAAATAAAATTATGGTTATCTCAACATGTAATAAATAAGGATGAAAATAATGAGTTAGAGAAATTAATTAAAACAAATAAAGAATGGTGTAATATGTGATCTACAGTATATAAATATAATTCCAGGATGCATGGTAGGCCTATGTGTATGGCACCATAATGTACAGTAATCACTAACTTTACCGTGACAAAGACAGATACTGACACTATATGAACATAAACATATTTGTATATCTATTTACATCTTCCATGCCTTTACCCTCATAGAAATCAACGGTGAATGAGCAGAAATTCTTCCTCGTACAAAACCCATTATCTTCCACCAGTTGACTCCGTTATGATGTACGTGAAATAATTATGAGTAATGTATAAATGTTTCTTTGACAATCCGTGAAGAACAGGAAATGGGAACAATAGTCTCCAAAAGTTTCACTATAAAGGAACAACTTTCATTTTATCCAATTATTTAGTCTTTCTGTCCATTCTTCCACTTTTTCAGCTGTGTACATATATCCACACTATCCACACACTATCCACCCACCCTCCTATCCACACAAGTCATATCTCTCAGTGCAAGAACATGGTAATTTTTTCGTTGTTATAACTCTTCAAGAAAGTTATTACATATGGCAATCCCTCAAGAAACCTTTTATACATATGGCAATCCCTCAAGAAACCTTTTATACATATGGCAATCCCTCAAGAAACCTTTTATACATATGGCAACCCCTCAAGAAACCTTTTATACATGACAACCCCTCAAGAAACCTTTTATACATATGGCAATCCCTCAAGAAACCTTTTATACATATGGCAACCCCTCAAGAAAGTTTTTATACATGTCAATCCCTTAAGAAACCTTTTATACATATGGCAACCCCTCAAGAAACCTTTTATACATATGGCAACCCTTCAAGAAAGTTATTACGTATGGCAATCCCTCAAGAAACCTTTTATACATATGGCAACCCCTCAAGAAACCTTTTATACATATGGCAACCCTTCAAGAAAGTTATTACATATGGAAATCCCTCAAGAAACCTTTTATACATATGGCAACCCCTCAAGAAACCTTTTATACATATGGCATCCCCCTCAAGAAAGTTTTTACATATGGCAATCCCTTAAAAAAACAACCATAAGTAAGAGAATTTAACAGTGGAATCAAGAGAAAGAAATTAGCAAAACATTACATTACCAGGATGTAACATAACCAAGGTGTAGATAAACAAGTTCACACTCAAGTACAGCTGCGGTCTACCCTGAGTCTAGACAGAGTTCAATCTTACCAAAACACAGTGAAATCTCTATCTAATGGACTATATCGAAACCTCTATTTAATGGACTATATCGTGAGGAAACTCCATTATATTGAGGGTCTGTTATATTTGAGAATTCCATCTAACGAACTACATAGAGATGAAAGTCCGTTATATAGAGGTCCCACTACAACAGAATCAACAATAACTAACATTACATTTTCTGTGCCCAAGAGTTCCAAAAAAAATCAATATAAAAAGTCAATTTTTTTTTTTAATGAATCGCAGAAAGAGTTTATACACAGAAATAAATCATATGAAGTCTCAGCATAGTCCTGTGTATCATTAACTTGCCCCTAACTCTCCGGTCTGGGTATAACAGATAAGTCGTGAATCACCTAAAGATTACCCACCCCCCCTCCAGGTAATTTCAGGAAACTATCACAATTATATCCATTGTGGATCACCTGGACAACATAGTTACAGTCTGGGGAAGGGGGGTTCTTCCTGGTAAATGAAAGTCAGGCATCAATCAATTTACAAAGGGGTTCCATCCCTAAAAAATAACCGTAAATCCTTTGTAAATTCAACTTTCGGAAATTAATCTTTCATAAATCAATCCCTTGTAAATTGATCCTTTGTAAATCAAGTGATGCCTGCATTTCAAAACCTTGCCTCATAAAGTCTTTGTGAGTTTCATATTACTAAAGGGTTCCAGACCTAAAATAAATCCCTTATGTAAATTTATGGTCGACGTAATCCTGTCTTCTGTTGTCTTAAATCTTTCTTATTTTCTACACTAGTCCCCCCCCCCTCTCTCTCCCCTACTGTTTTCTACTTGTTCTTTGGGGGTCATTCTACATTCTCTATCCACCTCATACCAAATAGGGAAGAGATAAAGATAATAAACAACTGGAGAGATAACAAGTAAATATCAATTGTAGAAAGATACCGAGTGGTCAGTTTACCTCCCTCCTTAACCCCTTGAGTACGATGACTTAACCCCTTGAGTACAATATCATCGTACGTGAGGGACCAGGTCATCATATACAAGGAACCAAGACATCGTACTCTAGAGATTAGGTCATTGTACTGGGATGTACTCTGACCCACAATCTGTCCCTGGATAAGTCTTGGTTCGGGTTATTGAATTTCCGAATCTTTCCCGAATTAAAATATAATTGTAATCTACCTGATCCCTCTGTTGTTTACATTGTCCTGACGTGAGACCTATGTATAGATGCCTAGGGTGCTGTTCAAACCATCTATTTACA